TTTAAATGGACTATTGTTATTTGTTTCGAAGATTTTTACATATTTACATATCACTTTTCTTGTTTATTTAAGAGGAATCATTTATTTATTAATTGTTACGATGTATTAGGATTTATATATTTTTTTAAATTTCTGCAATGCGATTGGATATAAATTTTTTCCGTTCTGTCCCTTTTTTCAAATTACTAGATAGGAGGTTAACAGTTATTAAGGAATAATATGAAGAAATAGAAAGGAAATGCAATAAACATTACAAGAATCTTCATTTTGCGTGGAGATTTTTGGTATAAGTGTGTCGTGTGCCAGTTAAACGATAAGATTACGGAAGAAGATAAGTTGCAGGGAGATAAAACACTCTTTGTACATTGGACCTATAATTAATAGATGTTTCAAAACCCTGCCTGTCAACGAAATTGGTACGATAATTTTAAACCGTTACAACCCCCTTTATCTTTATTTCCCAACAACTATACAATACCTCTTTACTAAAAAGAAATGACTTCTTCGCTAATCTGGACACTCGCTATTTCCTACTTTCAAAAGAAACTCAAGAAAAATTTCTAAAATTAATTTTCTTCGAAAAATCGATTAGCTACAACCTTTCAATAGTTTAACCACGAAGACTCGTGTCACCGCGTTCAAATTTCCCGCTTAAACGCATTAAAGTCGCGAGAACTGCACGTCTGTCGTATATAATTGGGAACATACGGACTGCAATATCTTATGACCGTGCCGTGCCATTAACGGCACGACGATCATCGTAATATACGTTTAGTTTAGTTTAGCAGGACGAGGGGTTGCCAGGCACGGAGCGACCCTTCGCGTGCCACTGGGGAGGGTGCATAATTTATCGCTTTTCCCCGACCACCATAATGCAACACGTTACACGCTCGGTATGCATGTAGATTCCGAAGGTTATCGATGCTCCCTCAATGTCCGAGAGGGTGTAATATGGAAGGCCTAACTACCGATAAATAGCCCAATCATCGATCGGAATTCATTGCCCCTGGCTTCTGTCTTAATTCAATAGCGACCGTGTAATTAGGCGGTCCAGCTAGCCGAAGAAAAATTACTAGTGCTTTTGATGGTGCAAATGATTCGATTATATATATATTCAAAATTTCACGGCTCATTATTTTTTAGGAAAATCGGAGGTATTTTGATTTAATGATTTAATAAAAGTTTGCTAATTTCAAGTTTGGAAATAAAAGAATCGATCTGTGTTTTATAGAAAGTAAAGATTATTTAAGAATTTTCTGTTAAGAATATCTTTGGTAGAAAAATTGTTATTAGTAAGTATAGAATTAATTTTAAATTATTATTGTTTTTATTAATATTCGAGTGGACGTGGCTGTTTCTCTATAAATCATTGGACAGTTGTTGATTTCAATAGTAATTTCTATTGAAATATAGTTTGGACCCAACCTTTTGGATCACTATATAATTGTATATTCTAGAATGGAAAAATTGAAAAAGGAAATCTGCTAGAAATTTGGCCTCAGAAATTTCTTTAGTCGAAATAACTTTAATTTTAATCTTCGATTGCTGTCAATTGTTAATTTTTAATTAATAGTAGAATTAAATGATCAAGTATAAGCAGATTTGTAAATTTGTTTCATGGTCCTAGAAACATGATACGATTCCTTTTCGTTTTAATGGACGTTAGAATTATCAAATTTATTTCTCAATTATTCCTAAAATAAAAATAAATAAAATATCGTTACAGGTTGGAATAAAAATGTCGAAGAAAACCTTGATAGGGAATAAAAAAATAAAGACACTTTGATTATCATTGATGTTTAAAATAATAAATACAAAATTTCGTACTCCAATCGTGTTCTAAAATATAGACTGAAAAGCGATAGATAAGAATTTCCATCTTCCAATTAAAATGGGATAACTAATGTATCTAACACGTTGCTGTCACAACGACAGAAAATAGGTTTCGCGGCCGCTACATGCGCAACTCGAAAAAGGTACTTTTGACAAGCATAAATCATGATAACCTGTTCTGATGACAGAACTCCGTACGCTTCCTTTGTTAAGTAAACTCAGCCCGAGATAGCCAATAAAAACAGAAGAAACGTAAAGGTTATTCGAGTTCTCTCGAAAATTATCTAATCAAGTTGCCTATCCCCATCTCGAACCATTATTTCAAACACTTTCCATAGCTGACAACGTTTCGGAAAAAAGAATCCATAATTTAAAGCAGCGAATCATCTAAATCCTGTCAAAAGCTTCAGCTCTGACAGCGACCAAACAAAAGCTTCCAATTATATTAATCGTACAGATATTAAGCTCAAATTTTGGGAATATATTTCTAGACACCTGGCAATTCATCAGAGACACTTTCCCAAAAAATTCTACAAATATTCACTAAAAACTTCTCTCAGAAACGTTCTCAGCTCTGTCAATTCTATTGGTCTCTAACAAAAATAAAATAAAAGAGAAAGAACAGGGGGAAAATAAAAATTGTACAACATCGGAATAAAATGATACAACTGGAGGTACCACTTTTTGGTCTGGTTGGTTAAATCGAATAAAAGTTCAGGCCAATGTGGAAACGCGAACGAAACGACGGACGAGGCAGGTGACGTTGAGGCAGTGGCACGACTTCGCTTAGAGTAGAATTGGTTTTTATTGTGACTAGATTACAAACGGGGCCTTTCGGCGCTCAATATCGCTCAGTAGGAACGTTTACACGTAGTGAGTGAAACGACGACGGGAATGAGAACATTCTTCTGCGGGCATTTGCAATCACTCACCGCGGGAACTGGGATATGTGATTACGACGAACATTTGTACGACATCGGGATTCATACAAAATAGCGGTCGTTTCTTAAATCTAGCTTACGTCACTATTTGTTCTATAGCGTTATGCTTGCATCGACTTTCGAAGTTGATCGATTCACGTCGGTTCCCCCCTGCGTTTCATCTAGATGGTGATATGCCATTTTTCAATTTCTCGGTTTCCTGATTTTATCTCGTTTATTCACCGTGCGCGTACACGACCCTATCCAGGTTCCATCTTGTCGAACAACGATATAATTTAACAATTTTTCACAAGGTACGATCGATGAGAAAGAATATTTCATGAATTATTTGAATCACGCGATCTAACGTAACGGAGTAACGAAACAGGAAGAGGATGAATCGACGGACTTCAAAAGTCCAGTTACACGTGCCCTGCAAGGATATCGAATACAGTTTTTTTTTTATAATTATTCAATAATATTAATAATATTTATAACGTATAGTCGATAAAGTGATTTCTTTCCTCGTACACTGTACACAGCGCCGCCTGCTGGCGCAACGGCGGCCATTTTGTTTTACTTACAGCCTGCGTGTGGTTTTCCTTTTTCCATTTTATAGATTTTCTTTCTTTCTCTCCTTTTCGGTATTCTGCCGGGTAATGTTATTATTATCATCATTAGAATATAACAATTCTGAAAGATATTTACGAACCGCGTAAAATCAGCGTCTACTATACATATATCTACAGAATCTCGATCCGCGCTGGATCTTGTATTAGTCATCCCATTATTTTCCTTCTTGTTATTTCTCTAATTTGCGATTAAATTTACTTTTTATCTTATTTCTTCTTTTTTTTTCGTTTTATCGTTTTCTTTCCGGTGTCTTGAAAGACTGCACACAACGAGGTGGACACACAACGTTGCCCGTGAATTCTGTGTTTCGAAACGCACGATATTCCGTGACACGCGACGGAGAAATTAATCGCAAGTAAAGATAAATCATTTAGGAGAATATAAAGCTCGCCCGATCGACGAGATCGCGCTTTCAGCGAACGTATTTCGAGAAGAACGACCGTCAAGTCGAAAATATTGCACTTTGGCTCGAGTATTTGTCAAACACGTCGCACCTCCATACGAAAAGGCGCGCGAAAAAAAGAGGAAAAATTCGTTAAGCTCAATCAATCCACGGTAAACTTAAAATCCATTCTACGAGACCGTTCTCACTGCAATTCCGTTCATTTTACGGATGAAGCATGCACCTCGAAACATTAAATATATATTTATATATACCAATGTAGTCGTTCGATCGTAGTCCATTTACAATCCTATATACAGCTGCTTCCCGGTTCACCTCTTGGCACGCGGAAGAATGTAGTTAAATCGCGCGAATAACCATTTAAACGCTTCATCTGTGTGAAGTCCGACGAAGAGAACAGCGTACGACCGAACGTGGTAACTCTGTACCGCCATAAACGCCACGAGTCCTCGCAAAAGTCTCATCCACGATGAACGAAGCAAGAGAAAAGAAAAGAAAAGAAAAAAGTAAGCCGCGAAGAAGAAACACGGGACTGGAATCTCATAATCTGCAAGAACTTTAAGATACCTAAAGTAAAACGCGATGAAAGGTACTTAGCAACCCGAGAACGGAGGTCTTAGACGCTAAGAATCACTTGCGAGGACAACGCTGGCAGCACGATAACGTTCGCCGGTCTCAGTTCTCATCCCGCGGCAGAGAGGGCGTCTGCGAGCCGGAAGCGATGGACGGCGTGGTCCAACAGTCGAGTAACGACGGCCAGTAGCCGGTAGCGGTGGTGGCGTGTTGCCAGTAACTGGCCAAGCCGGTGCTGCCACCTGGTGTGCCTCCAGCACCACCGATCCCGATCCCGACGCCGACCCCAATACCTCCGGTTGTCGCGATCACCCGCTCGCCGCTGATGCCTCCTGCCTCGATCACGCTTCGGTCATCCTCGACCTTCTGGTCCGCCGTGATTCCGTCTTCGTCGTACATTAAGTAAGGAGGAGGAGAAGTGGTCGACGAAGGGGTTGACGATAAGGTCGGCGAGGCGGCGGACCTAGGCCTGGGTCACTCTTGCGATCTCAGCTGATTGTCGCTTTGCTGACCGGCGGACACGTTGGCTGCAGCTCCCACCGGTACCACCTGACTGCCACCTCCTAAAGAGCTCCCGGAACCGGCCAAGGAGCTTCCGGAATTCGCGGTTACAGTGTGGTGATGGGGGCTAGATGTAGCCCCCGCTTCACCTCAGACTTGGGCTCTGGCTGTAGCGTTCACGTGAGCTTCTGCGCTGCTTGGCGAGTGCGGATTCGCCTCACCAGTGGTCGCCAGAGCGTATTGACACGCGCTCAGTGGTCCTCCACCGCCGACAGAAGAGGCCCTGGAGTCTACTGGGCTACCAGCAGCGGAGACAGGAGTGCTGTCCATGCTGAACGAGTTGCTGCTCAGGCTGTACCCGCTGCTGTGTTGTCTGGCTTTCAATCGTAACGAGGCAATGCTACTCGATGTCATCACGGTGCTTTCCGAGGCTGCGGTTGTCCTGTAGTGCGGAGTGTACACTGGTGGTCCGTAAGGATGGTGTCGCGCGGCTGGAGCCGCATAAGGACACGCGGCTCCTGTCGCCGCGACGGGTGAACCGGCTACCCCTAGGCCCGACCCCATGGCTGGTAGCATGGACGTGGCCGCCTGGCCCACCGATACCGGCATTCCACCCATGTGATTCCCAGCGACGGACGTCGCCGCGGCGTTGAAACAGTTTACAGGGCTAACTTGGGCGTGGTGATGGTGGTGCGACGCTGTCGGTACCATGGTGCCCAGGGTGTTCACCCACGGGAAGCTCTTGCTGCTCAGAGGCGACGGAACCTTCGCGGCCCAGTTGTTGTACGTGCTATACGAACTGTAGAGGGCATCTGGGTCCGTGAATGGCTGGCCGATGAAGCTGTTCAAACTGGAGCTGTAGCCTGGCTTGAAGTCCACCCCGTCGGCTGCGGTGTTCGCGTTGCGCGTCTGCTTCCGCCATTTCGCTCGCCTGTTTTTGAACCATACCTGTCGACAGACGGAATCGGTATGTTAGATGTAGCGTTCCTAATCGTAGGTTGGTAATCGGTAGTCGAGGTTTTATCACGGGGTCCAAAAGTACTCGGAAAGTTTAGTTGCATCAGTAGTTCGTACAAAATAGTTCGTTTAGATAATCGAACGGTACATCTTCCTGCTCCCGAATCACTTAAAACAAATTTTTACTCTGTTGGAAAAATGCTGAAATTGGTGCAGAATTGTACGCAGTTTCCTTATCTTCGAAAGTCTGCGGTGCTATTAATATTGTAAAAGGGAAATCGAAATATTCGCAAAGCGAACGCGAAGTGCGCGGTATCTCTGTAGAGGAAGATCATGGCACACATCAAACCGGCGAAAACACTTCTAAATACAACAATTAAACGGAATTATCTTATCTTATCTTCTGTGAAACAATTATGTCTGGTTGAAAAAGCAATTGCACCGTGTCCAAAAAATTCCCGTATCTAAACCGCGCCTACCCGAGTCCCTCTTCTTAATCAAGCTTCAGCGCGCCATTTCTCACTCCTCCGACTAATCTAAACACCCTATACTTCAACACGCCCACAGTGATCCACGAGGAAATCTCTCTGCTTTTTTCTCCGCGACCGAGTTCCATCGTTAACGAACGCTCGTCGCACTTCGCGGCCTCATTGAAACAAAGAACCGTTTCAGCTTCTTCTCCTTTTTCTCTGCCAGATTTCGCGTCGGGGTCTCAGTTCAGCCAGGTATTACTCATGTACCAACGGGACAAGGCGAGGTTCCACTCGGTAGACGGCGAGTCCCGAGACAAATGGCAAGAAAACCCCGGCGAGCTCCTCCATCCTGAAATATGATGGCGTTAATTCAAGGCGGCCCTCTCGCGTTCGATACTGCGCGAGGGTGAGTCGCTCGTCAGCCGTTTCCACCCTCTTCCCGTTCTCATTCGCCCTTCAACCTCGCCGCCATCCCTTGGTCCCGACCCGTTCCTTCGCGTTGCTTTTTCCACGTAGCCCAGCCCCGCTTCGTCCGACAATTATACGGGTGGTTGCACTCGGATACACGCCGCTCTCGCGTAACTGTAAGGCAGCCCTATGGCTAGAACGCTCGGTACGGTAGAGTGTCGGAGAAGAGTGGAGGTGTTTGCCGAGTTGGGGTTGAAGTTTCGGGCGAAAAAGAAAGGCGGGAAGGAAGATATCGAGGGAGAAACAACGACGTAGAAGGATCCTTCGTAAGATGGATGGCTCCACGATCACACCGTGGAAACGCTAAGAGGCGCGACGAGTCATTGAAAGAGGGGAAGAAGACTGGCTAATGAAGAATAATGCCCTCCTTTTGCCGATTATTCTTCAAACACGCGCGCTTCTCGACCTTACGCGTCGTTATGCTGCATCGGATTCCAAGGATTACCGGCGCGGTTTTAAATGGAGACCTTTGTTCCAGCCTTTCCAGAGGAATTAGAACACTCGATCCTTTGGATTATTTCTCCACGTTTTCGGCTAAGGTGAAACCGTGTAAGAAGTATTGGATGCGAGTACAGGCTGCAGGGTCTATTTTCGAATTGTTTCTATGGTTTCTGTTTAGAAATGCGGATAAATTGAAATGCAAACTTTATATTCTTACAGGAGTACAGGGATTATTGAGGAGTATAGGGATTGCTTGGGTATTAAATTTATATTCAACGCCAAAGTTCAAGAATTTGTTGAAATTTTGTAATGAAAATCGCTGAATTTTGACACAATAACATAAATATCTAAATATGTACTAATCAATTAAAATCAAATACTTCCTCGAGCTACAATTTATCGTAATAAAATCGTAGGTTGCAAGATTAATAAAATCAATCGTTATTAATATTTTTAACCCTTTGCACTCTGTTGTCGCCACTATGGCGGCACTGTAAGATAGCCTGTAACTCCATTGCTGCTGTTGTGGCACTGGAATTCCGCTGAATTTATACCAAATATTGTTAGATAAAATTCCCGAAACACAGGATTACCGTATGTTTACTGATAGATATTATACAAGTACACGTTTGGCAAAAGAACTGATGAAAATGAAACATTGTACCATGAAAGCTAACAGGAGAGGTAAAATGACTCAGAGTTGCTGGTGGTTAATATTAAAAATTGCTGGGAATGCAAAGGGTTAAAATATTGTATTCGAAAATTTGTCCACTATAAAGATATAACAATTCGAAGCTTTTCTTATATTTCTTTACGCTCGATTTATGTTGACATAAAATGTTGGCATACAAACGAAATTCGCTTGACTCCCATTGCTTCGATTACAAAATTCATTGTCCAGGAAGCAACAGCGATTCGTCCACGATGATCCAGCGTCTCCAATCATGGAATATCTCGTGGACGATAATTCAGCGGCGCGAGGAACGCCGGATCCCGGGCACGATACGACTTTTCCACCCCCTGTGAATTTCCCGAAAGGGCAGAGTATCTCGTCGCGCGAGAAAAATATTTCCCCTACGCTCGGCGGCCGTACGAGCAAACTTTCCTCTCGCGAGCGGGAACATCATTGGATTTCACGAAGCAACCCCGTAGACATGACACGGGGTGCGACGGTAAGCCAAAGAGGGGGAGTAAACTCGATAGGACAGAACGGAGGCCGAAAGATGCCGTGGCTCGAGAATCAATAAACTCTCGGAAGGCGCGCGCGAGTCGTTTCGTATACACACAAGACCGCGCCCATAAACTTTAACAGCGTCGCAGAATTCGAGCCGAACCGCGGCCTCATAAGCTTGACGAATGAACTTTCCGATCGCGCCAGTCGCCACAGAGGTCGACGGATTAGCGGGTGTGCTGGTAATTCTCGAAAGGAGATCCTGTCCGGCGTTAACCGCGATCGCGGCGGCCATTTGTATCACCAAGTCCGAGAAAAAAGACGGACACGCTGCGATTTGTATAATAGCAAGTCGAATTGCGTTCTTGGGCGAAGCGAATTATTAAGGTCAATTATTTTGGCGAATTAAAAGACAGATTGGGGATTTTAGGGTGCTTTCTGGGGTTTTCTTGGGATTTCTGGGGATTTCTGGGGTTTTCTGGGGTTTTTTACTGTTTGCCTTTGACGAAAATTGTAATGTGAGGCATAGTTTGGCTAGAGGATAATTTTTAAAGATTTAAGAAATAAATTGGATATTTCAGAGTATTTTGGGGATCTTTTATATTTGTTTCTGGTGACAATTGTAATACGATGTATATATAGTTTAATTAAGAAACGATTTTTAACGAATTAAAAAATAGATTGAGTTCAGATTGCGTTCCTTGGAGTTATTGTTGTTTATTTTCGATGAAAATTGTGATGCAAGGTATAGTTTGGCTATAAGAAAATTTTGTAGGGATTAAGAAATGGATTGGTGTGTTTTGTGTAGCAAGTAGAATTAGATTCTTTGATAAAACGAGGTTTAACGAATAAAAAGACATATTTAAGATTTGACCGTGTTTTGAGGGTGTTCTGGTATTTGTCTTTGATGAAAATTATAACGTATATAGTGTTGCAACGAAGTTCTAGAGAAAGTTAGACAGTTAGGTAAAGTATCGATGGAATTTGCAATATCGTAGATAGTCACATCAATTTGTACTATATCGTTGCTTTTTCGGCACCCTAATTGCGTAAATTCGAGTGATCCACATCCTGTGATAGCTATACCTCCTCCAAAAATTCAAAGAAATTTCACGAATTCTTCCAATCCTAACAAACAACGATTCCAAAACTCTGCCTATACTCTGAGATTATTTTTATTGACCTGTCAGTAGTAAGAACATGAATGTTTACATGGGAGAAGAAAGGATTATTAGGTTAGGTAACGATTAGTTCATACATTTAATTTGGCAACATAATGCGAGATATGTGAGATTGAGGTAATGATAAAACTAAATAAAAGAGCGGAATTATGATCAAAGAGTGAGAGAAGAGTAACCAAGACAGAAACATAACCAAAGGTCTATCTACCTATCATTAAAATACATGACGATACTTTAAATTAACAGACTTTAAAATGACAATACTCTATCATTAAAACACATCGGTAACTAAGGCAAGTACGTATTACTATTATCGAATCAACCTTCTGTTCCCACACATCGCAACGTTCGACTGTTCCCGTAATCGATCGCTCGTTCGATTTTTCCTCAATGGCAGGATCCGCAGTGACGTCCGAGGAGCGAGTTGGTAGACGCGATAAATCGAATCCAATGTTTTCCACTCGACAACCGCTTGAACAATGGCTGCCGTCACGTCATCCGAGCAATAAAACCTCATCAAATCACGACCCCTCGCCACCGCGTAAGCTTCCGTGCACGGCTCAATCTACGAAAGCTTATATAAATGTAATGAGACCGTGACCGGGGCTAGCTCATCAATCAAGCCCCCACCAACCGGCCAGTTCTGCCACCCCGACTCGTGTTGCCTCCCTTGGTCGTCTTTTCTCTGCCACATATACGATCCGGCATTATATAGACACCCCCGAAAACGCTGCCCCATACGGGGTAATCCCGCGACTTAGCAACGGCCACTGAACAATCGGATAAGCGCGATTCGTTCCGTACGAGGTGGCCACGCTGTTAGCCTATTTTTTCCTTTCAATACGTCAATCTTCCTCGGGTTCCAGATACAGGTGGGTCAGACGTGTTCGAAAGACGAGTTCCACGGGGTATTAGAGTTTGCGAATACCATCGGTGATAGGTATTTCAGGATAAGGAATGAGCAAGACCGAAATTAGAGTTTTATGGAAAGTAATTACTCGTTTGTTCAAGTGACGTCTATTAACTCTTTGCGGCACAGGATTTCAGATAATAAAATAGACCAAAGTTGCATAAAAATTTGACTGATGGGAGAGAAAGAACGACTGTGAGAGAGATACTGACAAATACATCGATAACAAATGAGTGTCATTAATGGACATTCTATGAACCCAGTTCTAAGAACTAATGGGAGTAACAGTGCACGCTAAAAAGTACTTTGCAATGAACCTAACTACTATTTGACATCCAATCTTCCCT